TTTAGATCATTCAAGCTGCAAAAGTGTCTTTCACCAGCAGTTCTCTCCCAAGTCAGGAAAAGACAAAGCTTATCTACAGTGGTGGTTATGGGGAAAATAACTTAAAAGAAAGTGTATTTTCTCCTGGAGGCACATCCTTATATACCTTTTATGTGGAGCATGAATACGTTAGTACAGCGGAAGAACTCACTTCAATAGCAGGTTCTGCTGTGCAGTAAAAGGCCACAGCTGCATAGACGTGAGCCTCCAGCCTAGAAGGGGAACTGCACATCAGCTTTGGAGGCTAATAAAGGCATGACCTTCTTGCCTAATGAAAGAAAGTTTTCCCAGGGGATGCTGTTCCCTGCTGACTGCTCTACGTTTTTCCAGTCGCAGGCCACAGTCCTGTCCCTCCTTTTCAATCAGCAGCACTTGTGTTGTCACCCCAGCACCAGCTGTAGGAGGGAGCAGGTCTGGCTGGACATGGGTAAATGATCAGAAAATATTTTTTCAGGCAAAGAGGTCAATAAAAAAATCATTTATTACAAAGGAAGCACAGGATATGAGGAAGGTTAGCAAAGAGAATTCTTGAAGATGTCTGAGAGGACAGATGTGGCTGATGAACCCTGTGTCACTGAATGCTTTAAAGCTCCTGGAGATTATGCCATCTGGAGGAAAGCAAGTAGGCTTCAGGACATCTGCGCAATTTTTTTGGTCCTGAAAAAATACAATAATTATTACATTAAATGAGTTTTGAAGGTTCAAGGCCTGAATTGGACCATAGGATTGGGTGAGTTGGAGAAACCCTTGTGAAACTGATGTATTCATTTTGCTTTCATCACAATCCAAATACTTCCTGAAAATTAATTCATTTCTGCAATGATATTTCAGAAGGAATGGAGGTGGAAAAGATTGAACAATGTCAAAACAGCCCATTTTGATTCTGAGAAGTCTCCATTTGGGTGGGAATTTTGTTTGATTGTTTTTTGGTTTTGTCATTTGTGTTTGATTTTGTTTTTAGTGGCATCTTTAAGTTATATTGGAGTGAATAAATGTAATCTAATTTATTTCATAGCACAATGTTAGATCAGTCCAAAGCAATTACTTTTCTCCAGGAATGTCATGTTTAATTTTGCTTTTTAATGAATTCAGAATTGGAAATCTCAAAGCTGTTGATGAAACCAAATGTTCATCATTTTTGGGACAGTTCTGTTCAGGTGCTCTACTTTTGGCTACGGTAGAGTCGCTGCATAGCACAGACTGCAGTGTCTTCCTCCTACCCTGAATCTTCACTGGTTGGGGTGAAATCTCTTCAGAAAAGAACTGCCTTTTCCTATGTAAACCGTGAAGCAGAAAGGAGTAGAAATTACCATCAAGATTTCCAGGGTCTACTGTGGTACTAATTCAGGCCCCATATCTTGTAACAGGCATTAACAACAACTGTATATATAATAAGTTTGACACATTTGAGTTCTAACAATCTTAAACTCCAGGGAATCAAGCCAACTTCATTAAAACGGTGGAAGAAAATCTTAGCAAGTCATTTGAAATGGTGTTGGCATATATACACCTTTTGACTTGAATCACATACTGTTGTCCCAGTAATTTAGTCTGTGTTTTCTTGCACACTGTGTGAATGTAAGGAGGAAGTGGCATGGTTTCCTTAGGGTCCCACTAATGCTTTGGCTTAAATCTTTGCAGTACTTGCTCCCTCTGTGTGAGTATATGGGCATGTATTTATATATATATATACACACATATATATATATGTATCTCCATATATATATATATTCCCATATATATATGGAAAAAAGCTTCTATTTTTCCATATGCAAAGTATTAGGGAGCATAAGCCCAGTGTTTGGCGCCTAAGTCTCTTAGGTAGGGCAGGTATTCAGACTTTAAATAATTCTGCTGTCAGAACATGTATATTCATCTCTTTAACAGTTTTTGAAGCTGGTGGTCAATTTCAATTACATTTTGAAGAGAAGCAGAGGTGTCAGAGGGACTGCACTCCTACAAGTTTTTAAAGGATTAGTAGCTCATAGAGAAGCCACAGTCAAGAAAAGCTAACCCTTTGTTAGACAGCAGGAAAGCATGCAGAACAGACACTTGTGAACCTGATTTACTGGTTCCTATGGCTCATTCAAATTATTTGTTTAAACCTTAAATATACCTAATTTATACAGAGTGTGGTGTGTCTACACACATTTGTCTGTTATACACATGCATAATGTTCACTAAAATCCTTCCAGAAATTAATTGTACTCCCTCTTGCTAAAAGCATAACCTCAGCTCCATCTGCTGGCTCTGTAGATTGATAAGACAAAACTGCTGAAATATGTCTTGTCTGGGATTTGGGATTTTGTCTAGTGAAAAAACATAAGCATAGCACCAGACATACAGACATGTTATTTTCCTTGAGTTAGATATTATCCATAAAAGAGGAGACCCTTATCTTTTGATTCCTTTTGGGGAGGGTTTCATATTTTCTAGGCTTAATGCCTTTAGAGATCAGGAGGCTTTTTCCTCAATCATGAGAGCTAAGAAGCTATTTAGGAAAACGAGAAGAAATTTCCCTTCACCTCACCCCTTTATCTCTTGAGAGCATGGAGGAAAGGCTTTATGAAGAAGGTCAAATATTGTATCTGAGTTACAGTGTCTTCTTGATTTATAACTCTTGCCATGTGACCCCTGGAACAAAGCTTCAAGCCAGCTCTAAAAACAGGAATAGTCACTGACTGTCCCATACAGCTAATTCTTCACTAATAACATATTCTGATAAAATTCAAATGCTAGAAGTGGGTATTTTCTTGCTTCATTTTTTTTTCTCTGTTTATATTAGGAAGGCATTGGGCATAGATTTTCTGTTATGCAAGCTGTTTTGTAGTTTGAAATTATTTTTATTCCAAGCAGAATAGCAAAAAAGAATTCTGAAATGAATTTTTCATCAAAAATTAGTGTTAGATCTGGCAGAGGTTTTGTTTTGATTTTGATCACATGTTTTGCAAAGAAAAAAAATAGGGCAATGCTCAAAATAAATAACTGTTCTGTTCAGACAGTGCAGGCATGGCTTCACGTTTTCAGCAAAATGAGTGATGCAAATGAATGACACATCTTTTTGGTGAAAAATAAAATGGTTTGTGGCAGTGAACTGTACTGTCTCTGTTGACTTTGCATGAACATTAGGGCCTGGAAGCAGGGCAGTGAAAATTAGTATAGGCATCTGTAAGGTCAGCTAAAAATTAGCTTCTATGCTCTTTTTCCATTGTGAATTGACTACAACAGCACTACTGAAACTTTGGGCTACCTCATATAATTTAAATGCATTCTAAATTGAAAACTTTTGTTTTAAAAATGTTACCATTAAACAGCTTGATTTCCCTCTTCCTACCACTGCCTTCTGAACCTGACTTAAACTCAGTGACAGTTTGGATGGTCTCAAAAACATGTTTGTTGAATTTTAATAATGGGGCTGACATATATAATTCTTCACCCCCATTTGGCAATTAGCGGAATTGGTGGATCATTGTTTAGCTTTCAGATCTTGTGTATTACATATGGCCATGAACTTGGAAAACCATTACACATAAGGTGCTCATTGGAATAGGAAATTGTGAATTAGTCTCATGAGAGGAAAGTCAAATCCAGTTTCTTCAGCAAGATACTTGCTGCGAGAAGATGCAAGGCCCAAGGCTGTGGTATGGAAACAGTAATCCAAGACTGAAATTTACTTATTCCTTGTACCTTCCTAGTCCCTTGGGACAGCCCGTCTATAGCAACATCCCCAATGCTGCTAGTGCTACAGAGAGTGGGTAAACATGAGCCTATACAGGTTATGGGGAAGAGTAAGTAGGTCAAGACATTGAGAAGTGCAGAAAATACATCCAGGTGGAGCAAACTTGTGAGTTGAGAATCCAAGTAAAACCAGGACATCTTGCAGGCAATTTTAGCCCTGAAGATATTCAAGTTGGCGGCAGAAGTGTCCTCACTGAAGTTTACAGCCTCCACGTGCTCCTGGCTTATGTCACACTTACCCACCGTTAGGCATTTGGCAGTGGAGCAGTTGCATATTCTCTCCTTTTATACATTGCACTTTCCTATGTATGGTGAAGAGTTTTATATAGCCACAAAGAGTTTTATATGCCTTGGTGACATTTAGTCTACATACTCCCCTCTACTTCTTCGTTTTCCTAATGAACAAGCTGTAGGCTGCATATTTTGCATACATTAATGCTTTGTCACTTCGAACTTGAGGCAGAAGACTGTTGCAGGCAGAAATACCATCTTGTTCCTGTCACAAGGCTTGATACAGGAGAAAATTAAAAAAAAAAAAAAAAACAACCAGAATTTTGAATCTTTTAACCAATTCTTTGCACAGGGTGTTTTCCTGTATATCTTAATAATGCTTAAAATCACAAAAGAGAGCACTTTCTTGATGCGGGAAGCACTGAGTTCATTAATAATTAAAGAAACCATTTTTCTAAGCTGTGTACAGTTATGATAGACAGTGACCAGGAAACATCCATACCTCTTACCAGGAACTGGTGCAAAAATCAGACATGCCAAAGGTTCCAGAGTGTGGTTGTGTCAGAAGGGAGATTTAATCTCTTACCAAAAATAAGAGCGCGTATACACACACACATGCAAAATGTAACAAATTACTTAAGACTGAGGCTAACTAAAACAAATGTGTAGTCTACAGCTAGGCAATTGTAAATGGTGTGCTGCAGAGATGGGAAATGTGCAAAAAGGTTAATCAAAGTACATGTGACAACACTGTTCCCCTATTTCTGCCACTTGCACCCTTAGATGGATACTGAACACATGGTTGAAGGATGGCAGCTGCAAGACAATATTTTCCCAAGAACAAACAGAGTCTTGTTGGAGAGTAAAGCTGTTCAGTGTTTTCTATTCCACTCATGAAATGGAGGTGAACTTTTCTGGCATTTATAAAAAGAAACAAGCCCAAAGGACACAAGAGAGCAATCATACTTGCATGTGTTTGTGTTTGCATTCAGGTGCAGTGGGGAATTATGGTAGAAGAAGGCCAAGTATTGATCTGGGGAGCAGACACTTCTCAAGACAGGCTGAAAGGATCCACAAAAAAACCATCACAGCCCCTGGGGATCCACCCTGGCTCTACCCCACCTCTTTTGAAGTAAGCAACCCTGCTTCTGCTTCATTGCGTAGGGGTACAATCCCTCCACGTGCCTGTGTGCACATCTTAAGTGTGGCATTAGGGAATGAAGCTCTCTATGTACAGAGGCAGGATTTGTTGAGGGAGCATCCCATGCTACCTCGAAAAGGGCACTGACTTACGAGCTCACCATCACATGTCCCCATAGAGACCCTGAAATGTCAGATCTTTAAGGATACAGTAAATCTAAAGTATTTCTTTTAGAAGGAAAGTGGTCTTGCCCTGCTGATCTGTAAGGAGCATGGAAAAGATGATGACTTGACAGGTAGAAAAGCACATAGCATACACCTCTCAGATCCCCTTGTAGCTAATCAGACCCTTTTGATGTTAGAGAAGCCTTTTTTCTGCTTTGGTTTGTATAGTAGTTTGGAATTTTTCTTTGCTTTTTGTTTGGGTTTTTGTTTGGGGGGGGGTTTGGTTTTTTTTGGGGGGGGGCTTGGTTTTTTGGTTTTTTGGGGGGGGGTCATTGTTGATGGGGAGTGGGGGGGAGGTGGGTGCAGGGGCAGTGGCAATGTGAGGCAGTTGTATAATTTTCTTTGTGCAAGCAGAGAAATCAGCAATTAAAAGGCAGAACTACATGTTCATAGCAACACTGAATGTCTGTAGCATCACCACTTTTTCTGTGGAGACTGCAGCACTATGTAGCACTCCCTTACAGCAACTCACTAATAATTATTATCTACAGATCATGGGAACTCTGGCAGTGCAGAAAGTATTTACTTTCTTGTCTAGTAGTTAGCTAAAACCTGACTTTTTTATCTTTTTTTAACCAAAAAGGGTAAAATCAATCATAAGATGAATATATATTCCCAAATCGAAGTGTGTTTCTTAATTGGCAACTTTTATTGCAGTAACAGCTTTCAACACATTTGATGTGATTTTGACATGTTGCAATTTGGTCTGTGGAGTTCCGATGATTTTACGTGAGGCAACATTGATTTTAGATTCTTTTTTTTTTTTAGATTCATTTTTCTCCTTTGCTGTTTTTCTTAGTCGCCTGCTATGGCATTTGAATCTACACACATAAGATGAAGTGTTGTTCAGTTGTGGCACTGTCACTGCATCTGAGCTTCTCTCCTGTGATGTTAAGGCAGCCTGCAGAGACCAGGCTCCTGGCTTAAGCATCAGAAGGAAGGTGCTTAATGCAGGCTGTCTGAATAGCCCTTTGCTGCACCTTGTTATCTCTTGTAAGACTTATTTAAAGTCAAATGCTTACTTAACAACAGCATTTTTATAAGAATCTTTAGCATGGACTCAGTGGATTTCGGATTGGGAGTCTCTGAATACCTTAATGTAAATACACTGTAGTTTTATGTAGTTATTGACAGAGGAGGAGAGGACATTTGTAGTGGTAGTGTAGATATGTCTGTCTCACTGGTTGTCTGCCCTGTGGAGCTGTTTGCACTGGACCAGATCTGAGCAAGAAAGATGATGATGGGTGTAGTGAAAACATCGGGAGCTCTCATTAGGGCTGGCTAACCTTTCCATCCAAGCTGTGGGTCTTCAGCATTTTCATCTTTTAGAAGCAAATATCCAAGGAACTGTTTAAATAAGTGGTCACTTATTTTATAAGTGACAGCAGTAACAGCAACAGTATCCCCCTGCTTCACAGGGAGCCTCACAGAGACATTTCACAGTCCATAGAAAAGTAATTTTTCAGGATCACAGAAATACTAACACTGGTAGAATGTAGAACATTCCATTCCTCTTCTGGTCTCTCACACACACTGCTCTACTCAGAGGTGCTTAGGAGGGGAGGACTCGGTGCCCGGGTGCAACAGCAGAGACACCCCCTCAAGGAGCTTTTGATTAAGATCACAAGGCAAAGTGCTGTTTAATTTAAGGAAAGATAATACCCAGAGGTGATATATTCAGTCACAGCTTAATTGAAAAGAAAGAGCACGCAAAAAAGGTGACAGAGACAGCAGACAAGAGGTTAAGCAAAGCACCTTGTATCAGATGTTCAGCTGAGAATTAGCTGTTGATTGTGGAGCATAAGCCAAAAATCAAGTTTTATTGTGTGCCCTACAGTGATTTCTGTGTTCAAAATGAAATCAGGAAAACAGGCAGTTGTTTATCTCCATACATTACTGCAGCATGTGTGACAAGAAAGTAAAAAAGTCATGAAATATTATTAGTGTTTTCTTTTTATTGATTACTGAGCTTAGCTGCAGGAAATACTGGAGAAAATTTATGGCTCCAACCTTTAGTTTAAAATTAATATAATTGTTAAGCTTTGGGATTATGAACAGCTGCTTGTTGAACAGTAACAAGAAGACGACCTTTACAAGAAACACCTAATATTCTGCCTGCATCAGGGAACTTTTGCACAATAAGGAGAGTTGACCAGTAAGATGAATAATTTGCTATAAAAGGGGAATGTAGATGACAGTAAATAAGAACAGCTGTTGAAACAGGCAGTGCAAGACACATAATGAGGGTGTTTCAGAGAGATTTGCAGTAAATACAAGTTTTTTTAATGACAGGATGTTTACAAGTTCCTCTCACTTTTCACTCCTGACTCCAGCACAGTAATTCCACTGGTTTGGATGGCACAGTAATCTAGTAAAGTGTGATGAGAGCTAGATTTCTGTTCTGTAACTAAATCATGTCCACTTCATCGTCCCAGTCCGCTTCTGCTCAAAAATGTTTCCTATTGAATGCTGTGCTTTTCTCTCAGAAGAGTTAAACAGTAGGCTCAATGGCTTTACAAGTAAGTTGTTGGTTTAAATCAGCCTTAGTGGTTGACACTTCTTCTGTTCATAATTTTTTAAGCTGCTATTACAGTGCTGTTGTATCTTCAATGGAGTGGTGACTTACTTTGCCCCATTCAAAGCACAAGTTAAATATGCAGGGAATCTGAAGAAACTATTAAAAAAAAAAAAAAGGTTTTTTCTACTTTATTGTACAATATTTCTGTTCCTAAGGCATCTTTCATCTGGTGATTAACATCAAAGCATTTTGTAGGTCTTGATTATTTATCTGTCTCAGTAGTCTCAAGGTATTTTGAGAAAAAGGTTTTGCATAGATCGGAGTTGAAACTTCTTAACGGTGCAGAGCAAGGTGGCACAACAACTTGAGCCAGAATTAAAAAGAAAAGTGATATTTGGCTAAAACTGTGGGAGGAAGCAAATGTGGAAAAAGATGAGTGCTTCACAGGCAATCAAGACCTCCCTCTCCTTAACCTCTGTCTTATTTTGTCTGTAAAGCTTTGGAGGAAATAAAGAACTGGGCCCTGAACATAGATTGCAGAGAGCTGTGCTGAGCTAGAAAATGTAGAAGTAGTTGGAGAACATCAGTGTTGGGTCTAAGGCCATGGCTAGCTTATGAGAAAGCCAGGTCTTGGGCATGCTGGACCAGCAGATGAATTGGAGGAGCAGCACTACAGATAGGATGTGTGGTCCTTGTAAGTCCTCCATGTACTGGTAGCTGAGAGCTGGGAAATCCAATAGCTCATAGGAGCACTGCTGAGGATCTAGTAAGGTCAGCCAGCAAGGAAGGGAAAAAGCAATCCTTCACCGCAAGGGAAGTGGTTATCAAAGCCTTTAAATTCTGGCAGTTAGCTGTTTCTAATGGAAACAGTTCTACTGAAAAGTAGCTAGTCAGTGTCAGGTATAAACCCTCGGGGATGTTTGCACATGTTTTTTATTTCACACTAAGGAATGGTCAAAACAATGTCATGGAAGCCATTCACGGTAAAAAAATTGAATAAGTGTCCAGTCTTTGCAAGATTGAATGAGCAGATATGACCATGGGATTACCAAATACCATCCAGTTAATCACCTTATGTGCCTGGTTTCCAGACATCTGAAGCAGCCACAGCAGGGATGATTGTTTAAAGAGCTCTGTATACTCAAAGGGACCAGATTTCTGAATGGCTCAACACTCTTTGAGAACTATCTATTGCCCAAGCATCATGAAGAGATATGCACCGGCTAAACTGGCAGAGCATGCTCTGACCCACTACAATACACACACGTGTCTCCATCTTCAGTAACTTAAAGATGATACTGAAGTCCTTAAAGATGATACTGAAGTGGAAAAAGATATACAGCCTGGGAAAATAATGACCAAATTTGCTTAACATACTTTACAACAATGGTTATGTCATATAATTTCAAGTGAATCTTGTTCATTAGAGGCTGAGCCCCTGCATTCGATGCTGTAGAAGTCTGAGGGAATCACAAAGAATTTGTCTAATTGGCATCATGCATGAAGGCTGCTGAAGCATTGGGAATGGCTAGGTCTTCCGCACCAGTAAGGATCTTATTGCCATAGTTACAGTAGTCTGATTCTCCTTCTCCCTGCGAGTTGACAAATCTCATTAAGAATATTTGCAAAAACTTGAAAGTCTCACCTAGGATACAAGCAGTTGAACAGCTGCTTTAAAAGCCAGTTCTGTATATGCTCATGCCCAATCATGCTTCAGCCGTGGGGGAACCCCTTAATTGTTTGTAAAACCAGAACATCTACTCACTCCTTAGTTCCAGGTACTGCTACCCCAGAGATCCTTGATCTTTGTGGTTGCTTGGGGCATGCTGACCCCTATGGAGGGCTGTGAGGTAAAGTAGACATTTTAATGTGCCTTTCTTCCTAGGGAAGGGAATAAGTATAATACTGATGAACCTGTTCACATAAGGAGCCTGGGTTTTGCATGTACAGCAGGACAGAGGCACCGAGATCAGGGTGAGTTGGTGTTGACTTGCCTTGGCAAGGCTGAAATGTCTCTTCTTTCCATGAGATGAGAGCACTGATTCCAGTGGCCTGTGAAATATGGGTAAGTAGGGCCATCCTTCATTCTCTGTCAGGAAGCTGTGCTCTACCTGAACCATGCAGGTGTATAATAGCACAGGCTGTGAGCAAGAGCCAGAGCAAGGGCATTTATCACTTTTGATTAAAGAGCATCAACTCTTGCTCTGTGAATTAAAGAAAAAAA